ATAATCTAATTCAAGTTTCATGAACAAGTAACCAGGAAGTTCAGGACGGAGCAACAGCAGGGGATAGTGAAGTCTTTGAGACAATAGAGAACTCCAAAGAATGGTAACGTCAGCCCCATATTACCAAGCCTTCCTATTCTTTTTAATTAAGATTTATTTGTTTTTATTGCAAAGTCAGATATACAGAGAGGAAGAGAGACAGAGAAGAAGATGTCAGTCCTATGATTCACTCCCCAAGTGACCACAAAGGCCAGAGCTGCGCCTATCCGAAGCCAGGAGCCAGGAACTTCCTCCAAGTGGGTGCAGGGTTCCAAGGCTTTGGGCCATTCTCAAATCCTTTCCCAGGCCGCAAGCGGGGAGCTGGATGAGAAATGGGGCTGCTGGGATTAGAACTGATGCCCACATGGGATCCCAGACACTTGCAAAGCAAGGACTAGAGCTGCTAGGCCACCACACCAGGCCCAAGACTTCCTATTTTTTAAGAGAACCCAAAAATATTTTTATGTGTACAGTAATCTAATTTTTAGGACATTATGATATTCATATCAAACATATGTTAAGGTCATCTGTTTGCAACTTTTTAATGTAAACTTATGAATTCTTGACCACATGGGCCTTGTTTAGATAATGTATTCTGGAGGAAAAAAAAAAAACTATCCTTATCAGAATGCTTTCTTGTTTTTCTCTTGTCTACAGTTAAGAAGTCAACTTGCTATTCTTTTTCAGCATGATGTGTTGAGACTAGCACTGTGGCACAGAGGCTAATGCCAGCACCAGTGATGTGATATTCTATATGGGCACCAGTTCAGGTTTCAGCTGCTCCAATTCCAACCCAGTTCCCTGATTCTGTGCCTGGCAAAGTAGTGGAAGATGGCACCAGTGTTTGGCCTTGTGCACGCAAGTGAGCATTTTTAAACAACAAGAAAACAAACACACAAAAACAAAACAAAAACCTCCTGCTTCCTGGCTCTGCCTGGCGAGGCCCTGCCATTGCAGCCATTCACGGAGGGAACCAGAAGGTGGAAGATCTCTTCCTCACTCTTGTTCTCGCTGACTCTGCCTTTCAAACAAGTGGAACGATTCTTCAAAATAAGAATTGAAACATTTATTTATTTGACAAATAGAATGGCAGAGATGGATGGAGAGACATAGACAGAGAGTTCCTCCATCCAATAGTTCACTCCAAAAATTACCTCAATGTGGAATAGGTTGAACCCAGAAATCAGGAATTCCATTCCAGTCTCCCCACATGGGCTGCAGGAGCACCTGCACCTTGAGCATCTTCCACTGCTTTTCAAAGCGCATTAACCAGCAGCTGGACTGGAAGAACAGATGGGGATAAAAGTGGCACTCTGATAGGACATGGTGGCATTGCGAGCAGTGGTTTAACTAACTACATCATAATATCAACCTTAAGTCCACTTTTTCTAAAATCGAAATTTGAACTCCCTTGACTATCATATAACTTAAACTTAGTGTAACTCAAATAGTATTATTATCCAGCCTTCATTTCTTCATCCAGTCATTTTTCCCATAGATATCTTGATTTTAGTAAAAATCATCATTATTAGCTCCCTGGATTAGAAATGCCTTGGGGTGCTTCAGCCCTGTGGGATATCCAGAAAAAGCTCCTGGCTGCTGGCTTCCGATTAGCTCAGTTCTGGCCATTGCAGCCATTTAAGGAGTGAACCAGCAAATGGAGGGTCTTTTTCTCTCTGCCTTTCCTTCTCTCCTTAAATATGATCTGCTTTTCCAATGAAAATAAATCTAAAAAAACAAACCAACAATAGATTCTTACACAGGCCTCAGTGATCCGCCTATGATCTAGCCCCCCAGCCCCTCCCTCATACTCAGCACTTTGGTCACATTACACTTCTTTCGGTCTCATACATTACAAACTCACCTCTCTGGCAAGACTTCCACCATTTCTCCTTTTCTTGCAAGAACGCACCACTAGCCCAGCATTTCAGCCACCGTATGAAGAAGTAATCTTGGCTTACTTCTCTAATCCCAATATGCCTCACCCTCGAGGAGTCTGTCTTTGTGCTTCTCTTTTCCTGAGTTGATGTGCAGGAGCATCTGTTTCATAAAGTTGCAGGGGAGGTTTGAGATCTCACACACACCTGGCACACACAATCAGCCAGTACTGCCAGAGGAAATCAGTGTAATACTTGATTCCCTCTTGTTCACAAGCTTCTTCACATTTACTGCTTTTAAGTAGCACTTCTTGATTATTTATGTTTCTTACTATTTTTAAGTATTCAATGACTATATTTCAGATCGTGATGCTGCATTGAGAACCCGACCAATAATAATAAGGTTATATGTTTATTTTGTTTAAAAGAGCATTTGTTCTGCTTAGAATGGAAGCTGTTGATGGACAGGGATTCTCTTTGAATCTGTTCCTGAAACTTGAGTGGAAACAGCCTCTTACTGACAACACCTGAAATCTACACTGTGAATTTCAAAAATATATGTTTGTCACACGCCTTGCTAGAGGATGGACACAGAAGAGGAAGTTAGTGAGGCCGTGCATGAAGGAATGGCACCAGAATCTTCCATAGCTAACCTGCCTATTTTCTGAAGAGACTTACAATTTGAAAGCCTTAGCACAGCCTGACCTTGAGTTATTGACAAAACGTGATAGTCCTTTCAGAATTTCATCCCTTTTACATTATGAAGTATGGAGGACAAAGCATGCTTCTCAAATGATGCACTTGAGTGTTGCTCTGAAGAATTTCACGTAAGCCACTCGTTCTCAGATTTTCCTGTCTTTCATGCAAAACACTATTTCTCAAAGGACATCTAAGAGAAAAAGTAAAATGCTCATAATTAAAAATAGGAACAATAGAAAAGATATGCAAAAACATTTTTCATACATAATTGCTATCACTCAGATATGTCTTTGTTTTTCATTGCCAGAACAGTCTTATTAGAATGACTGTTGCCATGTGTTTAACTTCTCAGCACTTCATAGATTTTTTTTTTTAGGCTCAGTACCATAGGCCCTAAGATTTTCCTTCCCCCTTCTCAAGCCTCCTCCCTTCAACTCACTGCTCCTTTATTGTTACAGTATTATAATCCTTCATTAACAGTCATATGTCCATCCTTCTGCTATTGAAGTGCATCCTGACCTTTTAGGTGTGAACAATGGCAGAGAGTCCAGCATCCTATTGTCAAGATAAATTTAACAGTTTCATTAGGAGTCCATCTTTGATATGAAAGTAGAGATGCATACTGCATCATATCTTCACATCTGGATATGATAGTCTATTACACAGTTGCTGTACATCCTATTAAAGGAAAAGTCATAAAGAAGGAATTTACAACATGAAGTTAAATAATATACTACCTAATCACCAATGTGTTACTGAAGAAGCGAGAAAGAAAATCAAAAGCCTTCTTGAAGCAAACTTCGCTAGTGTATAACCTGTCAATGAAGAAATTAATAAGAAAAAAAAACTTTTTGAAAAAATGAAAACAAGAACAAAAATATCAAAACCCATTAGATGTAGCAAAAACAGTATTGAAAAGGCTGTTGATCTTATATTTTGCATGAAAGCTGCCTTATATCAGAGAAAACATACATATATATACATATATTATTTTTTCTTTTGGGATTGACTTATTTCATTGAGCATAACGGTCTCTAGTTGTCATCATTTAATTGCAAATGATAGAATTTCATTCTTTTTTTTAAATTCATTTATTTTTATTGTAAAGGCAGATATACACAGAGAGTAGGAGAGACAGAGAACAAGATCTTCCATCCAATGGTTCACTCCCCAAGTGGCTGCATGGCTGGAGCCGAGCCAATCTGAAGCCAAGAGCCAGGAGCTTCTTCTGGGTCTCCCACATGGGTGCAGGGTTCCAAGGCTTTGAACTGTCCTCCACCGCTTTCTCAGGCCACAAGCAGGGAGCTAGATGGGAAGCAGGGCTGCTGGGGTTAGAACTGTAGGCCATAAAGCAACCTGGTGCATTCAAGACGAGGACTTTAGCCAGTATGCTATCATGCTGGGCCCAAATTCCATTTTTTTTAAATGACTGAGTAATATTACATGGAGTGGATATATCACAGTTTCTTTATCAACCCCTTTTTGTGTATGGGCGTCTAGGTTGTTTCCACATCTTTGCTATTGTGTATTGTGCTACTGTAAACATAGGCTTACAGACCTCTTTCTCATATGCAGATTTCATTTTCCTTGAATATATTCCCAGAAGTGGGATAGCTGGGTCATACATTAGATCTGTTTTCAGCTTTGTTAGCACTCTCCAGACTGACCTCCACAGTGGTGTACTAGCCTATGCTTCTACCAGGAGGATGCCTTTCTCCCCATATCCACGCCAGCAGCTGTGAATGTACTCCAATCTCACTGAAGTTATGTCTTAATCCATTTTGGTAGACGGTGTTTATTTTGCTTTTAGAAATGCCAGCTAATACTCTAATAAAAAGGGTATGTGGACATCACAACAGGATTCCAACAGGATTGGCTTTGGTCTAACCTCCCGTTTGGCATGGGGATCAACTGAGGCCCAGATAAAAGGCTAGTATGATCAACACTTTTATGTCCATCCCAAAGGTCTCTCAACTATTTAATTTGCTTTTATGTAGTCTATTTTTTTTGCTATTCAAAATTTACCGTGAAAAAATTAGCATAAGCAAATGAACAAAGAAAATAGTTTATTTAATACAATATCTTAATCTAGAGTGAGCAACCATTAATATTTTTTATATTTACACAATCTGTGTTTGACCCTAGCAGTTTGAAGTAAATTAGATAATGTAATATATTGTTCTTGTTACACAATTCAAAACAAGAGATTTTTTTTCTGTGAAAAAATAATGCTTTCACCACATCTAACAAAATTAAAAATGACTCTTTAATATAAATAAAGCCCTAACTTTGGCCATATTCTTTCATTTGATTCAATGATTCATATGTGGCTGGTTTGTGTAATTGAAACCTGATTATGGTCCATATGTTTTCTTTGATTATTAAGTGCTCATTTCGGCAGCACATACACTAAAATTGGAATGATACAGAGAAGATTAGCATGGCCCCTGTGCAAGGATGATTGTTAATCCTCTTAAACACTGTTTAATTTAAGGCATTCTCCCTTCTAATGTCATAACATTATTTCATTGTATTTATTGTTGTGCCTTCATAATTATTTGTTAAATAGACAGGGTAAGTTATACTGTAAAATTTGCTTCTTCTGGAAAAGTCTAAATCCTTATTTATTGATGTTTAGCTTATTTTCTATCCTTAATATTTCCTAGAACTAGAAGCTTTGCCAAAAGGACCTATTGTTTGAAAACAGAAATACCTCTGTTTTTGAAGATGGAGGTTTATGTTTATTTGGATTATTTTGATAGAAAATTTACCTCATACAGTAGGGGCTTGAATGAGGTGAAAGATACAATGGGGAGAACAGTGGGAATATGTGGTGGGCGGCAGGCAGTAGAGGAAACCACTACATTTTAGGGTCTTGAATCTAGTTGTGATCTTCAGAACTTCAGTTTGGTTAGTGCTTCATGATTTAGAACTGATTTAAAAGGGCTTATAATATCAAGGCAAACTATTAAAATCCATAATTTATAATGAGAAGCATAAGTTTTAAGTTAATGGAAATGTTAGCATTGTTGAAATTATCACACTTCCCCTAAACGGTGGTATCCAAGCCTGCTTACATACTAGAATTATCTGGGACTCAGAAAAAAAAAAAAAGAAAGAAAAAGAAAAATTCTGATTTAGTTGTTTGGGGTGGAGATTTGGCATTGGTATGCTTTAAAAGTTCCCCAGGTAATTCAAATATGCTACCAGAGCTGAGAAACACTGCTGTAGGTAGATCTAAACCAGAAGCCAAACTGTCATCAAATGTTTGTTTTGAAAACACAAAACTGGAATTTTGGATGTCAGTGATAGGAATAAAGAAAGCCTGATGGGTCAATATTAATCATTGGTGATTAGATTCTTTTTTACCAAGTTATTGGGGATTTATTTAAAATGTTATTTCAGTGCTTACTGGACAAAAATCCCAAATCCAGAATCCCTGTTTTCATCTCACTCTCAACTTCCCCACACTGTTGAAAACGCTAATTTAAGAGTGCTAGCATGGATCCTTAGGTTGTTTTTTAATAGACAAAGAAGATATATATTAAACAAAGATTATTCTGATAGTTATAATCCAGGGTAGAGGAGAAGAGGAATAGCAAAGAGGATTGCTAAGAAACCTTATTCCACATTATTCTGGCATATATTTTGCTAAGAAATAGATAAGATCAATGTTGTACTCAACATTTATTTGCAGCAAAAGATGCTGCAAAAGAGCTAAATTCTCTACTACTGAGTTTTTTATTCAGTAAGTTTGGGGTGGAACCCAAATAGTTAGACTTCATAACCAGTTCTAAGGCAGTGATTCTCAGCCAATGTAAACTGATTCCTAGGGAACCTTTGATAGTACCTGAGGATGTTTTAGTATTCCTATGGGGTTGGTACTGTAATCTAGTGGCTGAGAGACAAGGAATGCTGTTTAAACACACCCAATATTTGGGACTGCTACCAGATAAGAATACAGAACACTCAGCCAAATGTGAAACTTTAGATAAATGACTACAGAGATTTTTTCTTTGCATAAATATATCCCAAGTATTATATGGGAAATATTAACACTAACATGACAAAAAGAAGAAGAAGAAGAAGAAGAAGAAATATCATGGCCTTTTATTTAGCTGAAACTTCATTTCAATTTAAGTAAGCATCATATATTTTATCTGTTCATACCAGGACAGTCTCCCACACTAAAGAATTATCAAAAATGTAATGATGTCTGAATGGGAAAACCCAATTTAACGTTGATGCTTATACCTTTCATCTGTGGATCACATTTTGAGAACCACTGGACCATACTTGGACTAGTGCAGGTCTCCATGTGAGACCCAAGTCGCATGTAGAAAAATCACTGAGTTCCACCATCATCTGAAGTACACTTGAACAATAAAATTATAAACCACCTATAAAAACCTCCAATTCTAGGAAATTTACCTTAAAGTCACAGAAATAGAGCTTACTTATTCCATATAGTATCTGAATTAGCAAAGCAATTCTGTCTTTGGGGGGGGCTTCTCTTTTTTGTAAGAATCTCAAAAGAAATGCTTACTTACCTCAGTTATATAAGATGCTCCACTGAGTTAAAATATTTGAAGATTTATTTCTATCTGGCAGGTTACGCATCTTCAAGGAAATGGGTTGAAGAGAATAAAATGAAAAGGAACAGAATCCATCATTATCCAAAGATATGGATAACCATATCCTTTTGAATTTTTGTGAAAAAGACTATTAAAAAAATGTTCAGAATGACATCAATGAGAAATGCTTTGAATGTAAGAATCAGTATCAAAATTAAGGGTTAGTGCATTGTATTGGAGCAATTCTCCAAAGCATGTCAAAGAGTAAAACTATTTAAAGAAAGTGACACAAAAGAAAAATTATTGAGAAGGTCCAACGTTCTAATTATATCTTTTTATTTTTTAAATTTTTTTATTACTATTTTATGATACAGTTCTATAGGCTCTGGGATTTCCTTTCCCCTTCTTTAAATACTCTCTCACCCCACTGATGTCCCCTATATTACAACAGTATAGTTCTTCATAAACAGTCATAATTCCATCATTGCAGGCATGGAAAATGTCAGAGTTCAGCATCTTATTGTCAAGACAAATTTAACAGCATCATTGGGAATCCATTTTAAATCTGGAAGTAGAGGTGCATACTGCACTGTATCTTCACATCTGGATATGATAGTCTCCATTATACAGTACCTATACATCTCCTTAAATGAGAAGCCACAAAACAAAATCAACAACAGGGAGAAAAATAGAAATTTACAACACCATAAATTTAAGTAACATGCTACTGAATGACAAGCATGTCGCTGAAGAAATGATAAAAGAAAATCCAGAAACTTCTTGAAGGAAATGATGTTACTGTATGACCTATGAGTCAGTGAAGAATTTAATGAGAAAAAAGTTTTGAAGAAATGAAAATAAAAGCTAGAACATTGAAATCTATGAGATTTTCTCTGATATTTGTTGGTGAGATGTGACTCCTACCAGCAACGAATTTGATCCAATTTACTAATGTATAACATTTGATTGATGGATTTAAGCTATGTATATTCAGGGTTAATATAAATAGGTGGTAATTTGGTCCTGTTGTTTTAGCATTGGGATGTTCGTTGCTTGATTTAGTCTTCTGTTGTTATTTTACTGAGATCTTCTTCACGTTTGCCTTTGATTTTGTTGGGTGCAATTCCTTTTCTCTGTGAAGAGATTATCTTTATGTATCATTTGCAGGGTAGGTCTGGAAGAAGTGTATTCTTTTAACTTTCTTTACTGAAGAAGATACTGCTGCCCATTATGTCTGAGGGCCACCAAGACATGTTTTCACTTATAGGATGCCAAAGTCTCTATTAATATTATGTTACCAGTGATACCTGTGCAATGAATTGAGCTGGGTGTGATTTTGCTCCCAGCTCAGTACATGCACAGCTCACTGTTTTCCCTCTAGTCTGACAGTCTTTATCACACTGTACAAAATGGTGCCTGATTTGCCTCTGGTCAAACTCAGATCTCCTGGCTGTTAGGTCTATGGACTACCTGGACCTATTTTCGGTGTAACCAGTGGTTTGTAATGTCAGTGTAATGCACTGAACCAGAAATTATCTCACCCCAAGCTCAGTGCATATATAGTCCTGACCCATAGCCTTTGCCTTGCTACACAAATGGAGCTTGAGGTGGTTCTTATGGAGGTCTAAGCTGTAAGATTCATCCTGTTCTTGCACCACCTGTTTGGGATCTGCTGCTGTGTCTGGCTCCTGGTTGGATCAAACAAATTAGTGGGACTGGCATTTCTTTGTCTGGGTTCATCTCCTGAGCTCAGGGGTGAACGCCCCTTTCCACTTGGCTGCTGGTGAAGCTCAGGCCACCAGTCAAGCACAGTTCACCACTAGCTACTGATGCTGGGGTATTTGGTCACCACAGCACTACATCACTGGCTTCGCTGCTTTTCCGTGTCCATCAGTCTCCAGGTGCCTCACTTCCATCGGACGGTCCTCACCTATTTTCTGGAATATGACCTTTCTGCTTCACCCTGGGTAATGATTGTCTGTGTAAAGGTGTCCTTACCCATTCCTTCAACTTCGTTCCTCCCAACATCCTAATTATAGGTATTTCATGTAGAAAACAGAAGACAATATGAAGAAAGGTAAATTCAAAGTATTTTCCCAGAAACAAAGTTCCCATGAATGGTTAGTAGAATTGATGGAAGTAGGCTCAGAAAGGAAAAAAAAAAAAAAGATAAAGGGCTTAACAATACAGACCAAGAATCGGTATGATCTCAATTGTGTCAATAGCAGAGTTAATTGGGAGAAGAGTGGAGCATTGTCCTCAAAATTGTTAGCTAAGTTTCTCATTCCTGAATTGCAAGTCCTTAGCTACTGGCTGAGTTATAAATAAATAGGAAGACAGTAAAGAGGCATTTTCAGGTTTGCAAGGTCTTAAACATTTTTTTGCTCCTTGGTTTGCAAAAACAAACAAATGAAATTGTTTAAGTTTGAAGTAATTTAAAAGAGAATGATACACATAATAACTGTTACTAATTTTTTCGTAATGATGGTAAAAAGTGTATCAGTGCTAAAGATGTTCACAAGATGTGGACAGAAAATGGTTAGAAAGCCCCTAGAAATGTATTCTAGAAAAGGAAATTTTGATTCAAACACATTGAAAGAACTTTTTCTTTTTCAAATTTCTTTTTTGATTCCTTGTATAACCCATTTTTCTTTTAGCAACATATTGTTCAATCTCCAAGTATTTGCATATCTTTTGTGGTATTTTGAGTGGTTGGTCTCTAGTTTTACTCCATGATGATCAGAGAAGATGCATTGTGTGATTTTGATTCTTTTAATTTGCTGATGATTTGTTTATGGCTTATAATGTAATCTCTCCTGGAAAGTTCATGTACTGATGAAACATTGTGTTCTGCATATGTAGCATGAAAGCTTCTGTAGGCATCAATTAAGTCCATTCGTTCCATTGTCTGCATGAGC